TTTCTCCAAATCCAGAAATCATTCTTTTACAGTTCTGATTTGCCTAAAAGCAGATATTAGAGATTTCAGATTGTATATCTTCTGTCCTAATGGTACTTTTAAGTTGGCCTTGACATGTCCGTCAGGTACGAGATGCAAAAATAAAAGTGCTTGGGAGTCTAAAACAAGAAAGGGATGAAGAGTGCCTGGAATGGAAGGAGTTATCTGCCTCGCTCAAAGTCAGTATGTAATTTTATTTGAATTTGAATTTTGGTGGTTGACGACAATTATTTGTTTCTTTACTCTTTAAATTCTATATTACTACATGTTAAAATTAAATGATTGCAAAATATATGTTTCCTTGCAGTCAGAATATCCAAAGTACACTCCATTGCTTGCAAAGATTTTGGAAGGTTTAGTTTCTAGGAGTTGCATCAAAGACAAATTCAATCATGATGAGGAGGTACTTATTGTTGGAGTTAAAAGTCTTGCAATTTCTTATATTTTATGCATCATCGCTTGTTATATTAGAGTAGTGTTAACTAATATGTAATGAATATTAAACTTTGGGAGCATGATCAACAAGATGTTAACTTTTGGTTCACGTTTGGATTTCACGGATATTTTGTCCTATAAAAATCATCTACTGATGTTTCTGTCATAACACTTACATTTCTCTCAACGGATTAGGATTCTTAGTCCTGCATATCTACACCGTCAAATATCATTTTTTTTAGAATTTAAAATTTTCCAATTGATGGTCATTAGTATATCTAATCCAACTGTTGACATTTATCTTCTGAAAGAATGTTATACCTTTATATGTTAAAATAAAATGAACCATTGAATTGTGATATTGTCATGATTATTGTGCATGAAAAATAAAAAACCCAACTAGTTTTTAAATTCTCTGAAACTTACCAGTCTGGTGACTGGTCTAGTGAAAACTGAGAATCATCAAATATCAATACAATGGTTGTATTGATGAAATTTAGTGTTCACAAAAACATTGTTCAATTTAGTATTGTGTGAATGAAATAGAAAGCTTGACTCTGTGGCAATTATGAATACACTTTGCAGGTAATTAATGCAGCAAATGAGGTTATTGAAAGTATTGATAGAGAAGAGTTAGTAAAATATTTTGCACTAAAAAATGATCCAGAAGATGAGGAAGCAGAGGTGCGTAGTCATGCTCCCTATCCTATGCTTTTTTAGTTATCCCTGTCAGTGAAATGGCATGTAAGTGTTATTTGTTTAGAACATTTTGGAATCTTACATGATTAAATGTGATTTTATTACTTAAATTTTTATTATTATAGAAGCTGGTTGTGTAATAGTTTGTCTGAAAATAATGACATGATAGTGTAAACAAACATATTTGTACCCCGATTCCTGATAGTGTATCAAATGTTAAATCAATTGTTGTCAGCTAAATTTTTATGGAAGTTTATTCCACTATACAAAATGAATTTGGAACTACATAATTATTGCTTAAATGATAGATTTGCACTTTGTTGGCAATCAATGATATTTTAATCCCATTGTAGAAAATCAAGAAAAAGATGGAATCAACACGTGATCAGTTGGCAGAGGCACTTTACCAAAAGGGGCTTGCACTGGCAGAAATAGAGTCTTTAAAGGTTAGAGCTCTTATTTTCTTTAAAGCAATAATTGTACATCATCAACAGTTAATCAGTTATAATCCATACATGCAAAACAGCAGGAAATACCATGTAGACGATATTGAAAAGGCCAAAACATAAATCTTTATATCCTTACCATCTACTTCTGCAATCAAATAATGACACATGAATGTTCTATTAAAAATCTGCAGCACCTATTTTAATGCAAGTTGTTTAATCTTAGAAAGAACATCCGTATGTCATTATTTGATTGGAGAACTTGATGACAAAGATATAAGGAACTCAATCTATGTTTTGTCCATTAAAAAATGTGTGCAGCCTATTTTCCATGTTAGGTTACCTTAAAAACTTGTTTAACCTAGTTGCTGTTTAAATCTGTTAAGATACAGATCCCTCATTGGCTAGGTAAATAGACAAATTAATCCTTATAATGACTTAGGCAATTCCACCCATTTGAGCTAGCTTTTGAGGTTCAGTTAGGCCTAGTCCATTCCCAACTCTTACATAGCATTTGATCATACCTAGTCAATATGGAGTCAACTCTAACATGGCCATTGTGTGATATCATAAGATCCCATATTGCTAAGGTATATTGTCAAAGTACTCTGAGTTAACTTTTAGGATTGAGTTGAGCCTGATCCATTATCAATTCTGATTAAATCAATGTTTGATCTTTTGTACTTGTTAGTTACTCCAAAATTAGGAAATCTCCTTGTACACAGGGAGCAATATTTTTCCTCTTGAGCTCAAACCATAGATATGTGGCATAATAAATGCTACTCTTCGTTTGAGTTTAGACTTATGTTAGAACATGTAAAGCTGCAATTTTCATGATTTTGCTTGCTTGTGTTTAGTAGAATTTGGAAGAGTAAGTTTGGTTGTTATAGTGTCACTTTGTTAGAATAAGTCAAAGATTTCCATTATAATAGTAGTGGCATTTAATTATTATATAATTAATCCAGTAAAGTTGGCTTTCTTAACTTTTTTATTGTTAAAGGACGTGGATAAGTCCTTGGCTTTGGCTACATCAGACGGTGCAAAACAAGATGTGGAGAAAACTGATGAGCAATCCAAGGATGATGGTGGCGTTCATCCAGACTTGTTCGAAGAGAACTTCAATGAACTGAAGAAATGGGTTGATGTCAAGTGCACAAAATATGGAATCCTCTTGGTGACAAATGAGAGGCGTAATCAAAGGCTTGGGACAGCATTGAAGGTATTTTCCTTTTGCTAAAATCTTATTAGTTACTGCCATGATGACCCTCTTATTAATTTCTAATCTAAAAATTTAGTTCCTTTCCTCCCCGTCGTATAGGATTCTATAGACACTATTTACATTTAGGATGTTATCAGTATAAGATTAGGATAATGTTACTACTTAAATTGTGCTGCAATTTAACTCTATATATAGAGCGAATGAATAAAAGTTTAATAAGCTCCTCTTGACTACACATCTCTTTCAAAAATTATTTTTTTTTTACAAAAAAACCACAATAGGCTTCAAGTTCTAAATCAATGAAAAAAATCTAGTTACTGTTAATTCCCATTTGAATATCAGAAATAAGAAATTAAAATAATGGAACACAGAAGCCATGTGCTACAAGTGCTTCTAAATTTTGAAATGTACATTAGAAATACTTACTATTTAAGTACATTACAAACCACTTTTCAAATGCTTCACTTTTCTTCTGAATTTCACAAAATCCTTGAACTACCTGATACAGTATGACTCTGTAAAAGTTACTCTCGTGCACTGTTTTACTTGTTTTTCAAACTATAATTACACTAGCTTCCTTGGATAGCAATATCCAGGTAAAAAGATTTACAGTAGCGTAAAACCTGTACATGGTTGAACATAATCATGAACGGAAAAACTAGTGGCTATAATTGTTGCTTAATGCGTACCAGTAATATCTATTTTTCTCTGACTTTACCTAGAGTGTCTTTTTATTTTGATGATCATAGACTTCTGGGAAAGTGTCTTTTCTTTAATATTGGTCAAGAAAATAAAAAACAGAAATCTTATTGGCAAATAAAGTATTTATTATATAGGAATTAAATTACATTTTAACTCTTCTTTAAGTAATTAGAAGCATTTAAAAGGATTATTTAATGCTCCATAACTAATGTCCTTTGGGTATTGGTTAGGAGAATCCGATAAATTCTACTAATCTTATGTGAGCCTTTGCTCCCTCGGATTCAGGTACTGACTGACATTATTCAAGATGATGCTGAGGGTGTCAAGAAGAAATTCTTTGAACTAAGGCTCTCTTTGCTTGAGGAAATTGGATGGACTCATTTGGCTACATATGAGAGAGAATGGATGATTGTACGATTTCCCCCAAGCTTGCCCCCTTTCTAGGGTCTTCCAATGCAAGGAGCTGTCTTTTTCCTTGGTTATTTATAACTATGATAGCAATACATGCAACATTAAATTAACCATTTTACTCCAACGAGCTCCCTGCTCAATTGGCAGTTGCATCAGCCCAAGTTTTAAGACTTGGGTATGACATTGATGCTGGAGTTTTGATTCTTTGCCAAGCTACCTTATCCCCCTCAATATCCAGGTGCTTACACTTCCTATGTAAAAAATAGAATAAGAAAAAAAAAGTATGATCATTTTAGACATCTTGTCATTCCACTGGATATGGGTAACCTTGCATTCAAGTGCCTGTTAGTTCTAGGCCTTGGGTGTGGAGCACACATCAAGTAATGGGCAATGGCCATCCTCTTTGGCATTAGTAATTACAGAATTAAGTTGGTTTTCAGTTTATTTATTAATTTTTATTTCTTAGCATGTATTTTTAGGTTGGAGACCACTGGATTCAAAAATCACATTCAGACTAATCTATGTTTTTAAGGGGAATTGGGGGTTAAGTTTTCAATTCTTTTTTTTATTTACAAAACTTGAATTTGAAAAACTCGATATTACTTGGAAAATTAAACATTGGACTTTGTAGTATTTATTTTGAGAGGAAAATATCAAGCAATACTCATTAAGGAAATAAAAGTAAAAGTATTTACTAAAAATATGTCATTTGAAAACACAACTCGTACTATAGCTTTAAACAATTGAAAGTAAGTTATTGGCTGAAAGGCTGGACAGGCTGTTGGTAGATTGCACTTGGTGTGACCACTTTCAGAATGTCTTATGTTGTGACTTTATGACTTCATTCAGACCACTATCCCGATATGCTTTTGTGTAGCAATGTTGTTACAAAAAAAATTATCCTTTTCGTTTTTCTTGCTTCTTTGGATGAGACTTGAGGAGTATGACATAGTGGTTAAGGAAGCTTGGACAACACATGGGCAAGGAGTGGTTGCAAACCTTGGTAAGGTAGGTGATGAGGTCCTGTAAATTTAATGTAACAACTTTTGGAAATATTTTTGTAGGAAAAGTAGGGTGGAGGCTAGATTGAGAGGTGCTCCATCCCGTTTGAATTTTTTAGTTTGGAATGAGACTCTTCTATTGCATTTTTATTTACTTATTTTTCTTTTTTTATTTCTTTTTTATTTTCTTCCATCGTTCCTTAACTCCCACAAAGTTTGAAAGTCCTAACTAGAGGTGTGTCCTAGACTCCTAATACTGCCACTTTTAGATTGGAAGCTGACCTACGTAAGGAGTATCTATAGATTCTTGAACACTAAGAATTCTTGTGGTTTCAAAAGTTCAGGGAGCTGAGTGAAATTTAGAGATCTCAATAACAGGTACTTTCATACTCAACTTATTGTGAGAAGTAGAAGAAATTAAATTATTTTATCTTCTTCACTTGAATCATGGTGTTTGGTGTTGAGATGCAAAAATTCTCAAAAGAGAAGCTTGATTGTTTTGTAGAAAAGCTATTTGCAGTTGCACCATTTACACATGTAAGGCAAAATTATTGAGAAATATTCCCAACTCGGCTCTGCAGGTGCTGGTGTTCTTACTGCACCAGTTACTAAAGAGGAAGTCAGAACTGCTATCATGGGAATGATATCCTATAAAGCTCCTTTTCAGATGGTTTCAACCTTTTTATTATTAAAGTATTGGGATATTGTTGATACCGACATGGGGAGGTTAGTTAATGAAGCATTCATTTGTGTTCATTTAGATATTAGACTGTTGGGAGACTCTTGTTATCTTATTTTCTCACGTCAATCAACCTGAATACTTTAAGGAATTGAGACCAACGAACCTCTGAAATGTGGTGTACAAGATCATTGCTAACGTTGGTGGACATGATGTTGGTAGATTGCATAAGTTAATGGTTAGCAAACGTGAAAGCTTGGAATATAAATGATTGGGAACATCTTCAAGCAGTTTGTTAAGAAGCAGGTATAATGTTATCCATGCATGCAATTCAATGATAAGAAGCAGGTATAATGTTATCCATGCAATTCAAAATGAGCAAGGCGACTGGAGTGATGATCTAGACCTTTCAGAGGAGGAGATTTCTCTTTTTCTTCAAGAACCTATATCTGGATATGAGGGATGCTCTAACCTTCTCTTTAGTTAGCCACTTTCCCTGTCTGGATGAGACAACAAAGAGAAGTTTTACGTAGGATATATCTAATTCGGAGATAAATCAAGCTCTTTTCAAAATGTGCAGCTACAAGACTATGAGAACATGGTTTTCAACTTGGGCAATTTCTCCCTGCACCCTTCCAATTGCCCCATACAGCCATCATATTTTAAAAATTCTTAAGCTATCCTTCCCTCTCTCTTCTCTGCTCACTTATTCTTTTCACACTTATCACTTATAGTCTTCGAAACACATTCTGGATGTGTTTTTATCTCTCTAGAATAGGTATTTCGTGCTGTTAGATATGTACTCAATCCAGATCATTGTTTATTCAAAATAACTAATCTGGAACGATATTGATCTAGAATGGGTGTTTTGGAAAAATGCTGTTCTATATTAGATGTTATGGAAAAGCATTTTTCGGTAATGAAATGTTTCGGATTGTGCATTCTGGCAAGACAAAAATCCAAAACAGTGTTATGGAATTACATGGTTCTAGATTGAGTGTTCTAGAATATAACTTCTGCATTGGGTGTTTTGGAAAAGACTCTCAAAGTAAGGGTAATTTGGGATATTTATAAAAAAGGCCGGTGCATCAAGAAATTTCCTTCAACTTGTGTTCTACAAAAACTGTTGGCACATTGTGTGCCCATCTATATGTAACCTGATCAATCACACTTACCATAATCCTCATGCAGTGGGAAATTTGAATAGGACCTTTATTAGTCTTGTTCTAAAGGTGGAAAATGGCACCTACTTGAGGCAATTTTGCCCCCATTAGTATTTGCAATGTAACTTAAAATCTTGACGAAGGTTTTAACTTAGACTTGAAAGGAATGATGGAAGAGCTTGTGAATCCTGTAACAATAGTTTTTTTTTTTTTTTTTTCCAAATGTCAAAGTAAATCTGATCTCATTACATTGGAGGTGATCCATTCCATGAGAAGAGGGGAAAAAAGGGAAGAAGGAATGGACGGTGGTTAAGCTGAGGAAAAGGCCAATAATAAATCGAGGTGGAGTTTTGTGAAAAACACCTTGGAAGATGATATAGGAATTTCCTGGGCCTTGTACGAATGGGTTAACCTTTTCGTAACAATGGTATCAGAGCCTTGTTTACGAACCCGGTGTCTCGAGTTCGAACCCGGAGAGGGAAGTTACTCCTGATATTGGGGGAGTTCCGACTTCACCAAGCTGCCAGGTGTCAGCTTCTGAAGAAGGGGCGTTTGATATAGGAATTTCCTGGGCCTTGTACGAATGGGTTAACCTTTTCGTAACAGAAGACATTGGGCTTTCGCAGTCATTTATTGACTTAAAGTGGTGTTGTATTTCAAGTCCAAGTGTCCTATAAGCGTTCTTTGGAATGGTGAGGCTGTGGAAGACTTTAAGCTTTCAACAGGGATCCAATAGGGTGATCATCGTTCACCTTATCTTTTGGTGCCATGTTGAAAAACTCTCCCAGTTAATTGAACAAAGTGTGGATCATGGCTTGTGGAAGTCGATCACTCTTTCTAGTGGAGAACCTTTTTCATCCTATCTTGCTTTTGGGGATGACATTATTATCTTAACGGAAGCAAATTTGATGCAGGTTGAGGTGATATCGAGATGTATTCAGCACTTTTGATCCTGCTCTGACTGAAATGTTAGTAGAGAAAAATGAAATTATTCTTGGTCCCAAATCAATGGACAATGGTGCTTTCAGTTATGGCAGAACAGATAATTTGGGGAATAAACCATCCATTTGATCCCTAGTGTATCACCCTCGTTATCTTAAATAGTCTTTAGACTACTATTACTCCCTAAAATATTAAAAATCATGTTTTATAGCCCTTCCAATATTAAAAATTCTTCAGATTAGTCCCTCAATGTCAGTAAAATATATCAATCTAGTGATGAAATTTATGGATATTAATACTTTAGAGGCTATATATATAATTTCATTGGTTTAAGGATTATTTATGAGTGATGGTGATATTTGAAGGACTAAATTAATAGTTTATTCAATACTTGGGACTAAGTAGAGAGATGTTCTAAACCAAGCTACCTCCAAAATAAGCACCTAGAAATAAAAGATGTTGTCTTTAGCTAGCAGGATAGCAGTGTCCAAATTATGGAATGCAGTCCATTTATCTACCTAGATTTGTTTGTGACAAGTTGGACAGAACTTGCAGATGGTTTCTATCTGAACCCGATACATAACAAAAACATTTTCGTTGTGTACTGTATCCCGCCTCACTCATAAAACGGAAACATATATCTATTTTGTGTTACAAAGTATGTTTTCATGAAAAAAGTGTGTTCTAGGAAAAGATTATATTTATTGATTTTTTTATCAGCATTCTATAAACATGGTTAAACACGGGCTTAAAATATTGAGAAAATTTTATGTTTATTGATTTTTTTAATCAGCATCTTAAAAACATTGTTAAACATGGCCTTAAAATATTGAGAAAATTAATACTGCTATGAAAAATGAGGTAGTTTCTACAATACTATTTCCTAAAAAAGCAGTACGTCTCAGTCCCCACAATAGACTTATGATCAATTTACCAACCAAGTTTCTTCGCTGCCCCAAAAGCTACGATGACATCAAATAAAAAGACAATTCTCATTGCGGCGTACGTACCAAAACGAAAAGCATTCTATAATTGTTTAGAGAAGTATCAGCAAGACACTAGTTTTTAACATACTCATGTCCTTTTATATATATATATATATATATAT